AAGCTTCCCTCCGTCCCCCTCCTTCTTCCTATTTCTCTCTTTTTTTTCTCTCTTGGCTTGGCAGGTGCCTAGTTTTGTATCTTTTCACAGGCAGATGATCTGGTGGAAGCAACAATGAGAACAAAATCCCACATACCTGCAAAATTTGTTGCATACCTGTAACTTTAAAAAAAGTGAACAGTAATTCACTTAATCCTATTCTTACTATTAAATCACAGCTAATTATAAAATAAGAAGAGAGTACGTAAGTCTTAGTGGATGTGGTTGATTGGGATATAGGGAGTGGAACTAGACAGGATTACTTATTTCAGCATGTGTATTTTTTGTCTTTTTGACCAAATGAACCCTTTTTTTTTTAGTATATTTTTATTGATTTCAGAGAGGAAGGGAGAGGGAGAGAGAGAAAGAAACATCAATGATGAGAGAGAATCATTGATTGGCTGCCTCCTGCACACCCCCTGCTGGGGATCGAGCCCACAACCCGGGCATGTGCCCTTGACTGGAATCTAATCTGGGACCCTTCAGTCCTCAGGCTGATGCTCTATCCACTGAGCCAAACCATCTAGGGCTCAAATGAACTCTTAGTTTTGGAGCCTCAGTAGACTATTGGAAGTTTGAAGGAGCTATTGTTTTGACAGAGCTTATAGGTTGAGGTTGTTCCTTATGTTAATCACTTACATTAAACAATTCTGAGATGGCTTTTTTTTTCTTAAATTGATTTGAAAACCACCACAATAGCAATAATAATAAAACAGATCTGAGATCTCCCAAAGTTGTTGTAAGATTCAGGTTCACTGGTTTTCTGGCATAATGTTTGGGGAAATGTTTCAGTTAGCTGTTGTAGTGAAACAACACACTCAAAATGTATGGTTAAAAATAACCATTTATTTTTCCTGACAAGTCAATTCATCTGTTGGGCAGATCCACTGATCTGGGCTGTGCTCGGCCCATCTCAGATGGGCTCACTCCTGTCCCTGTGGTCAGCTAAAGGGTTGGCCGGGCTGGCTGGTCCAGGATGGATTTGTTTTTGTCACAGTGGCATGGTCTACTGAGAGAGTGGAAGCGAGGAAGGTCTCTTGAGGCCTCTTGTCTGAACAGGAACACGATCTCTGTGGTCTCTATTGGTAGAAGCAAGTTCAAATTCAAGAGGAGAAGAAATAAATCATGCCTCTTGGTGGGAGGAGCTACAACCCCCCCTTGGATGCAGTAGGGAAGGAATTGGGGCCATATTTGCATTCATGTACCACAGAAATCTTGAGTAGACTCAGCTTCTATGGTAAACACCTCGTTTTTAGGTGGGAGAGTAATATAAATATAAACATTATGTGTGAAAGAAGCTCCTATACCCAATTTAGAAACAATCTGGCTTATTAAAATAGAAGCATCACCCCTCCCCCAGTCCCTTTTCAGCTTTCTCATTTCTACCATTTGTTGATTTTTCCACTCAAGGTAAAGAGAGAAACGTTCATATTAACTTACCTTTTTTGTTTGGATTCTACTTAAATCATGTTTGGTTTTGTTTATTACTGTATAACCATGGGGTCTAGGCTTTTATTATAGTGAGACTATTTTCTGTTCTTCAGAGTTAGTTGTAGGTATGTTAAAATTATTTTGTGAAAGGGGAATATATGATTCCACTATTCACTTCTTTAGGAAATACTGAATGAGTGAGGGACTTCTGCAGAGCTGAGCTGGAGTTGTCCTCCTTGGGGCTTGGGTTGACTTCTCACTGTTGCTTGTCTTCTCTTCTTTTCCTGGTGCCACTTCTTCACTCTCCTGCTGTTGTTTTTTTTTTTTTTTCCTGGAACACTAGCTAATCCCTGGCTCTCACATGAAGTCTTATCTCCAGAGATGATTCTGAGGTACCCAATCCTAGGCAGCCAGCAACCTGGAGGACAGTGAACAAAGAAGTCACGGGGTAAGGTTCCAGAGACAGATTAGACAAGGTGTTGCAGCCACAGTACAAGCAAGGGCATGACATAACCTAACTTATTTTTAAAAAACATCACTCTGGTCCTGGCCAGTGTGTCTCAGTGGATAGAGTGCTGGCCTGCAAAATGAAGGGTCATGGGTTTGATTCCCAGTCAGGGACACATACCTGGGTTGTGGTTTACTCCCTCACCCTTGTTGGGGTTCATGCAGGAGGCAACCAAAGGATGTGTATCTCTCACATCGATGTTTCTCTCTCTCTCCCCCTCCTTTTCTTCCACTCTCAATGGGAAAATATCATAGGGTGAGGATTAACAAACAAACAAACAATAAACATCATTCTGTTTGCCAGGGTGTCAATGGTTGGAGAGAGAATTGGTTGGAGGGACGACAAGAGTAAAATCTCAACAAATCAGGGGGCCAGTTCACTGTCCCTCAGACCATTGGAGGGCCAGATAGTTTTTTAAAAAAAACTATGAACAAATTCCTATGCACACTGTACATATCTTATTTTGAAGTAAAAAAACAAAATGGGAACAAATACAATATTTGTATTTGCATGTGGCCCTCGGGCCAGAGTTTGAGGACCCCTGGTCTAGATACACATAGAGTCTGCATACAGGGCAAGTGTGTGTGTGTGTGTGTGTGTGTGTGTGTGTGTGTGTGTGTGTGTGATGTGTGCACGCATGCATGCTTGGTAGACTTTCTCAGCCTGAAAGCTTTTCCATCCCAGTGTATGGAACTTGACAGATGGATCAGCAGTGGCTGAGAAGCAGTTAACATATCTGGCCAGCGTGGTTTTGATTGTATGTTGGGTTGTCAGCCAGCCACACACCAGAACTATCATTTTTAGGAGACTGGAAAATAATTATTCAATGTCCATGGGAAGAGAGAGATGCAGGGAATGAAATCGACTCTGTATGTGTGCGGAGGCGGGGGAGGAGTGGAGGAGACAATGTGAGAGGTGCAGTTCTACTTAAGTTCCCCAGTTCCCTCGGACCTCTGGTTCCTCTCCATAGAAAGTCCCTCACCGTGTTTTGTGAAAATGGTTTCAATAAGGCCTCAGTGTAGTTGAAGCTTCAGCCAACCAAGTTCACACAATAACTCACTGAAAGCCATGCATCCTGGTATTCAGGTTCAATTGCTACCATACCTGAGTTTTCATAATAAAATTCTTACAGCTGTTAATAATGTGATGGACAGTGGCCTTAGGACTAGCAGGAAAGTCATTGGGTGCACTATTGTCCATATTTTCAAATAACCCTGTAAGCACTTCTTATCTCAGTTTGTTTTTTGTTTTTTTAAACCTCGTAGCAGGTGTAACCTCAAATGCAGTGAAAGATGACTGATGTACTTGACTGGCAGAAGAATAAATATTTAGGCTCAACACCTGAAAAGATTACATACCTCAGTAAGTCCAACAAATCAAAGAGGTCTGCAGGAAAACATGGAAGTGTTTGCTTTTCTACTTCTCTGTCAACACCATTCTGGTACTTTGTTGTATGTGCTTTAAAATACACACTGCTTGACAAAAGGTGTCAAAATTCACCCAAACAATCCAGAGCAGTCTAGACTCTCCTATGATGCGGATACTCTGTTAATCCTTTTTTTTTTCCCCAGAAAGATCCAAAAATTGAATAAGTACACTCCCCAAATCCTTCTTTTTCTTTTTTTTCTATCTCAGAAGAAAGGGCATTACTGGTCTGTGTTATTTGGCTCGATCTTTGCCATATTTTAGTGTCTCATCCATTGGCCCCTTGAAGATGGTTTCAAGGGTTAGTTTTGAAAAGTGGTAGAAAGAGTGACAGAGTTACATGCAGCATTGCTAACAGTTGCTACCCGTGTAGCGTTAGATATCTCTGAGACCCAGTTCTCAGCTGCCTCTGCCTCATTCTCCCCGGTCCTCATCCTCCCCAATGTCTCTTCTATGGGGCTTCCACATGGCTCACCTCAACTGCTTGTAACATTCTGCCACCAACTTTTGAGGACTGCTGCTGCTTTTCAATTTTTAGGTTTTAAAAAATTACAAAATATAACATCTCTCCTGTAGAAAACCAGGGCCTAGAACACAGAAAGTGCTTTATAAGTATGCATTGAATGAAGGAAGGAATTAAAGATAATAAAATATATAGAAGAAGAAAAATTAAGAACCAATCATAAACCCATTACTTCCTGTCCATATATGGAGGGACAGTAATGCCACATCTTAGTTATATGCTTCTAGATATTTTCTGCAATTCTAAAAACAAAATTAGATCATTTTGTCTATTGTTTTGTCATGTTTGTCAGTTCTCTCAAGACAAAAACCTCCCATGACAATACATAATCTTATGCATAATACTTTTAATGAATACATAATAATCCATTTTATAGAATATTACTATGAATTGTTTAACTAAGTTCCTATTGTTGACATTTTGGTTCCTTCTAGTTTTTTTTTGCTCTTGTAAACAATACTGTATTAAACATCCTTCATGTTATTCTTCAATTCTTGCATGCAATTTTAATGAGTTCTTTAGGATAAAATTCCCAGAAATGAAATATATTTGGGCTACAGAATCTGTGTATTTTAATCACTAATGATAAGTCATCCGGGGAGTATCTTTTCACCTGAGCCCCGAGGCTGATCTATTTCCAGCTGGAACTCTGGATTAGATCCTTCTTCAGAGTGTATATCCTTCAGGACCAGAGACTTGTACAGCAGATGATCAACTGATTCAAATATCCCTTTCCCATGGCCTCAACACTAGCTCCCTCTTAAGTGGATTTCCCTGTACAGCTAAGAAACAGATAAGCAGGAAACCTATATTACTTCGTAGATCTCAACTCCAGCTTAATTAATCTAGGCCAGGGCCAGCAAACTACAGTCCACATCCAGCCTATATATGTATGGCTCCTAAGCTAAGAATTGTTGCTATGTTTGTAAGTGCTTTAAAAATAATCAAAAGAAGAAGATTTCTTGAATCATAAAATTTAATTTCTGTGTCCATTAATAAAGTTTTATTGGAACAGAGCTAGGCTCATTTATTTACATCCTGTCTATGGCTGCTTTATGCTAAAACAGCAGAGAGAAGTAATTTCAACAGAGACCATAAGGCCCGTAAAGCCTACAATGTTTACTATTTGGCCCTTTACAGAAAAAAGTTTGCTAAATCCCTGTCTAGACATTAGCCAATCCAAGCAGAGTAGTTTAAACCCTAGAAAAATGAAATCTGCAATAATATCACTAAACTCGCACTCCGAGAAAGCCACAGTTATCAGCACTCCAGTGCATGGGTGAGATCTCACCATCTTTCTCTTGTCTCAGCTTTGGCCCCAGCATTCCCTAGGCAAGACAATCTAGCACCTTAAACCCCGGCTCCACAAAGTACTCAGACAAGGGGCTTTCACTGTGAGCATTGACAGTTTCCCAAGTTCACAGTTTTAGCATCATTGATACCGAGTCCTGAGGGCACGCTTGGGCTAGTGTGGCAGACGAGATGAAGTATGGCTCCCTTATTAACTTGTCAAAGTGTGGTGCAGCTGCATCGTTTGCTCACCCATTTGCTTAACTTAAATAAAGGTTGGTGGTTAGGCTTCTGCTGCATTGTGCTCTCCGGCTAATTATCAGTGTATTTGTTTTAGAGACAATTAGCCACCTGGTTCATTTTCCCATCGAAGTCAGGTCATCATGAGTTACATCTGCTTTCAGGCCTCCTCAAGTCCAAGACATAATAAAAAGATGATGGCTGTGATTATATAAAGCGTGCGGGGTTGGGCATCAGTGGCACAGCATACTGAATTCCCAAGGAGGACTGAGTTGCATCATTGTCCTCCCAGAAGCTCCCCTCTGCCAGCCACAAAAGAAGGACGTGGACCAGAACTCCTGTGAAGAGCCAGAGTCCTTTAGCAAGTGGAGAGAGTCGTGTATTTGCAGAGGTGGACACTGATAATGGCAAAGCAACATGAGGCGGAATTCCTCCCTGGGGCGCTGTGCTGATACAACAAAAAAGTGACAAGCAAGCACGTCTGAGTGCTTGCAGAATTTGCATAAAACTGACATTGTTCGGACCTGTGGGTGTTGCCTTTTTAAAAAATGTGCCCGATAATGGGACATAACAGGATACGGATTACACATTTGCTTTGATAATCCCATATGTTCTGGCAAAACTTAGCATTTTGGAGCGAAGATTTTATTATGCTAGGTCCTCACTGAAACACATTGATGATGGAGACACGTTTGCAGCTTCCTGAATTTGGGGAGTTGAGGGTCTGTGGCACGGAGGCAGCTTGATCACCTGGGATGTTGTGTTCCGAGGTTGTTCCTTGACTATTGAGGGGGAGTCAGATTTACAAAGCTTAGTGCTATGAATTAAGTGCGGATAATTGCTGTGGCGGGCCTGGAACTGGATTCTGTAGAGCGTCAGTATTAAACAGTTCACTCTGGCTGCCTTCATACTAGTCCAGCGAAGACTGTAAAGTGAGCCTCAGTGTTGGGCAAAATGAAGCATCTGTGAAAGTTATAAGTGCCAGGTCAACAGGCTGCGCTTTGAAAACCTTTCACTCTGCACCAAGGTGGGCTGTAACAGAGAATGCATGCTTCAAACAAACAAACAATCAGCAAGTTGCTTAGGCACCAAAAGAAACTCCAGTTACATAAGCACTCCCTCCATCCACAAAACTCTCTAGATTCTGATGCTCTTCACAGAGGACTGTTCACAACATATTGTCCAAGTTGAATCAGTGAAGGCAGCGTAAGCAGGCAGCCAACTTGGGGCTCTAGAATTGGGTTTCCCAAAGTGAGCCCTGGCAGAACATGGTTCTGTGGAATACGTTGAAAATGAGATTCTGTTGTCTCTAAGTTTTAGGAAAGAGGGTGCTCAGCCAAGTGAACTCAGTTAAGTTTAAAGTTTATGTAGGACTGTTGGGAGCTCTCAATATGCTAATGATCTTTGGGAAATTTCTCATCCCCCAAATTTCTGAGGTCACAGACCCCTTTTCCATCTGTCAGGGACACTGTTTCCACAAAGGCTTGTTAAGAAACATCGCCCCAAAGTGTTTGCCCCAACTCAGGGCTTTATTAAAAACCCCCAAATAAGTGCAAGTCAATAGTTAGGGGCGGAGGGCTTAGAGCATGGAACAGGCAGGCTGCCAGCAGTTTCAGTTCATCTGCTTATTGATCTTCCTTCAATCTTATGAGGGCCTGGTCTTACCACAGGTCTGATGTCTGAGTGTGAATAGTCCCACCTCAATTTTTATTTTATTTTATTTTTTACAATTGCTGCCTTGTGGAGCTCTCTTGGCTATTCCTTGAAGTGGTAAGAAATAATTTAGCTAATTGCATCGCGAAGCAAGCCCACAACTTTTGATCACCTGCATAAAACTCATTAGTCTGAAGATAAATTGTGTAGTACAAAGCATGTACCAGTGGGTGCGATGGGTGGGCTCCCCCTAATTTCCTATGCAGGAGAAAGTAACCCAGCCTGATACGTCCTGTCTGAAAATGTTTGCCAGTTACATAACAGAGCGTGGAGCCTAAATAGTATGGATCAAGTGAGAACACAGGACCACAAAGGTTACTGCTTTAGGCGCATTGATGGATCATACCGGCGCTTTACAGACAGGAGTCTTGGGACAGCAGCTCCGTACAAGTGCCTTTCCATGGTCTGGGTCTATTTCTGTTGCGCTTTTCTGCGGACTTTTACAGGCCATTGTAAACGGAATCCTGTGTAGCAATCATGATTTACTTCAATGGGCTCCGCTCATTAAGCTGTTTAAACTTAGATTTAAAGAAGGATATCTACTTTGTTCCTTTATACAACTTTGGGGGAAAAGTAAAACATTTAAAATGAATTTCTTGGCAGAGAACAATTCGAGTTCTCTATAAAGGACTTGAATATATATATATATATATATATTCACATATTAGAAGACTCAGGGTTTTAAACCTATTAAAAGCAGCTAAGGAAAGACCAAATGTCATTCATGGAAGCTTGATAGTGCATGAAAGAAAAATACAAAGCAGTGGCTTTGTCTCCTCTCAAGGCATACCATTGCAGGGCATATACTTGAAGGTGCTGATTCTCAGATTGCTAAGTGAGTGTAGCTTCGGATTCAGGGTGTGTGTGAGTGCGTGGTTCCCAGGCCACATGCTGTCTTTGAACTCTATTCTTCAAGGCTATCACCTTATACCCTGCCAACCTCATCTCTTCAGGACATAATTAAATAGCGTTGTGCATGTTGGTAATGGCCTTGTTGGAGGCATTTAGGAATGACTTGAAGGAAACTTAGTACATTCATGAATTTCTCAGGTGCATGTTTTAATCAAAATCAGAAAGTCTCAACATGTTGAACTCAATAGACAACTGGATACTGGGCAATATGCCCGGGATGATATCTGAGTTTGCATATTAAGAAGTAAGGGGGAAATTCCCTAAAGTCTCCAAAAGTGTTTGTATTGTATATATGCTTGGGGAAACACAGGGCAATTAAGACATTTTCATGAAAAACAAAGCAGAAATAATTTTCTTCCTGTGGCAGATGATGTCATGAAATTCAGAACTTTACAACTGATTAACATTTTCTTTTTGCTTTAGTCACTGAGAGATTTACACTCAACCTGATATTCATTTAAAATTTTGGTATGTTAATTGCCATCTTTCTGGTGTATGATTTTTTAGGTTTTTATTCATATTTCACACTCATTGCATGGTGCTTTAAAAAAAATTAACAGACTTTACAAATATTTTGCTTATTTTAATGTAGCTGGTATAGACAATTACCATTTAAAATTCATTCCCAGGCCCAAAATACAAAGAAAACCAAAAGATAGCAGTGTTCAGCTGCAGTTGCTTCTGTATATCACCTCCTTTATTTAGTATCTGGCATCCCTGATAAGATTTCTAAAACTCGTAAAATGCACGGTCTTTTCCATAAAACCACCTTTGGAGCTAATTATTATTATTATCTCTGACTTATCCTCCTCACTTCCAGCCTGATTTTTCTTCTTATTTTGTTCAGACTATCAGATGGTAAAAGTACAATCAAGTTAAGGAAATACCTTTTCTTCTCTTATAGTCCTCTGAAAACTTTTGTCTCCCACTGAGATGGTCAAAATATGTCTCTCCAAATTTCATGTTGAAATCCTAATTCCCAAAGTGATGGTATTTTGAAGTGGGCCTCGGAGAGGTGATTAGGTCATCTGGGTGGGGCCTTCATGAATGGGATTAGTGCCCTTATATAACAGGCTCCAGAAAATCCCTCTCCCCTTTCCATCATGTGAGGACACAAGAAATCTGCAACCAGAAATAGGGCCCTCATCCAAGTGTGCTGGCTGGCATCCTGGTCTCAGACTCCCAGCCTCCAGAACTATGAAAAATAAATGTTTGTTTATAAGTAATCCAGTCTGTAGTATGTTGCTGTAGTTCCTGAATGGGCTGAGACACCCACAAAACGTCTAGTGGTGAAGCAGTCACTGGTTGGAACTTCAGGACTAGCGGAAAAGTCATTGGGTGCACTATTGTCCATCAATCTCACCCCAGACAAGGATGAAAATGTCCAGCTCTAGAAAAGATAGCCTTCTTCCAGTGTCCACATAAACTTAATAAAAAGGAGAGGGCAATATGAAAAAGGCTGGAGTTGGATCGTAAGAACTCTGAGATTCAAAATACCAGATGTTTTAAAGGGAGACTCTCAGAGAATGGGGATCTGCTTCAATTCAGCATTGGGAATCACATTATAAAAGGGCTATTTTTAAAAGTTAAAAAAATGATTAAGGAAAAGAAAAGAAATTAAGAGAATGATAAACTCAATCACATCTCCTTTCTTCATTTCCAGTTCCTTTGGAGTAAGCGTTATCGGAAATCCACTGACCTGCAAGGAGAAACCTGAGTGAGTTCCTTTGAATCCACTGATGTTGACAGTCTGATTCTTTGTTTCTTGACATATTTGTAATCTTCTCTGTGAAGAGACTCTCACAGCTGTCCTGTGAATTGAGTCTGAGGTTTAGGTATTTTCCTTTTTCACCCACTCATTCATTTCTCATTTGAATGTTTGCTTCCTGGTTAGATGTGGCCGGAGCTTCTCCCCATCGAATTCTCACAGTAACCACCCCCCCCCCCCCCCCCCCCAACCAAGACAGAATCCTGCACAGGAGTTGACATTGTCTCTCTTCCTTACCACACCACTCCCAGCACCATGTCTTTTCCTATAAAGCGTCTTGAGTCATTTCAGGAACTAGCTAGGAATAGGAATTATAGAACAACGTGTGGAGGGTTGCGTTCAGTTAGCATGGCCTAGAGATTAGTGTACTTTAAAAGTACACTAGGTTTAAATTCCATGTCTGCTACTTGCTAAAGTTTGACCTTATGCAAGTCGCTTCACCTCTCTAAACCTTAGTTTCCTAATCTTCCAATAAGGGTGACCTCTTCACAAAGCTGCGGGGAGGAGTAATAGAGTGCTTTGCATGCGGTAAGTCCTAAATGCACTGTTGCTGCTATTGTGATCACTGATCCAGGGGGTAAGGGAGGAATATAAGACCTAGTTGTTGTCCTGAAAAAATGTACAGCCTTCAGTTACACAGGCGTGTGCAATACACACATTCACATACTGAGTAGGGAGCGTTGCAATCCAATGTGCTGGAACAGAAAGGCAAGGAATAGAAAGATATGGAAAGCAATGTGTTTTTTTAATCATCGTTTTAGATCTGTGCTTAGATATCACTTCTTCCAAACAATTATCCCTGACCACCCAGTCTCTCCACCTGTCTGCGTAGACTCCTTCTTTTTGCTCATGATAGCACTCAACTACACCTTATTGTAATTGTCTATCTTTTGGTCTTCCCCTTAGACTATTAGTTTCATGTGGGATGGAAATCATATCCAACGTCTGTGTAGAAACCCCACTAGTTCTTGGCACATAACCACAAGTAGCTGGTGAATTAATAAATAAATGAATGAATGAGTGAGTGAATGAAATGAGCAGCTTTTATTTTCTAACATTCTTTGTGGGATTAAAACAGATTGACTTGAGTGTTGAAGATGTGTAAAGAATGCTTCAGAAAGATATATCCCAGGTTGGAATTGGGAAGGAAGCAGAACTCATTTGTTCTCTGTGCCTTGGAATTCTAGTAAAGAATTGGGTTGGGGACAGAAAAAAATGGGATGCTGGGTTAAGGGTCAACTTGTAGTTCTATCAAGTAAGACTTTGAAATCAATGGGAGTTTTCTTTACAGAGCGTCCTTATCTTACTCTAATAATTTGTGTTTGCTTTTGTGTATTGTTAAGATTTTCTATAATAAAAAGCCTTACAAATTCATCCTTTTGCCTAGAGTTCTAGGAAATTGGAGAGGTAATCATTTAGTCAAAAGGAAAATGCATATTTAATTGGTCCTGGCAAAGAGAAAAAATGTATTAATAGGATGATTTTACATGGAAAGTGGTGTCTGAGTGCTTGATGGTTGAGGAACTTACCTAGTGTTTTAAGAGGAAGGTCTTAATATAAGTTTAAATTGCAATAATTTGTTGTTAAGAAAAGGAATAGTAATCTTTGTTATATGATTATTTTTAGCGCTTACCTGTGTGTGTTTTAACAAAATTAGCATATGGCAATATGTACCTTTAACCATGTGAGTTTGTTTTGTAATGATTATTTTTGAACATCTGAAAGTAAGCCAGGAATACTGTTTAAGTGGGTGATTTCTACATAAAAATCACATCAGTCTCAGTTCCTGTAAGAAATTTGTTAAGCTATTGTCTGGTGGTAAAACCAAGATTTTAATAGGTTGTAGCTGACAGAGTGGGAGTTGTACACTTGAACATCTCAAAACTTAAACAAGTTAACCAAATCTATACATAAATCTACAGGCTTGTATTGTAGATAACTTCTATGGTACCTTTTAAATAATCTAGCATTCACAATTTTTCTTTTTTTACATGACTACAATAATTTACCATCATCACAGTTTTGTGGAGCCCAATGTATCACTAAGGCTTGCATGCTCTTCATGTTCCAGCCAAAACATGTTTGTGGAAATGAAGATTCTCTTTCAAGACAGGTGATGAAATCCAGTTCCAGTGGTTTCCTTGAAGCCAATATAGTTTCTTCTGGCCATTTTGGTTGGAGCCCAAATATATTTGACTCATAGTTTGCTCTCTCATTCTGGTGATTTCCCTCATTTTTCATAATTTACCTACTGCTGTCAAGAACAATCAGCATCTTCTCAAGAGACTAGTAAATACTCCTTTTAGCCAATAGATTTATAAAATACAGAATCCAATGATTCAGTTTATTTGGGCAGAGTAATCAAATGCTTCCTACATACAGGGCATAGTCAAAAGATTTTAGGAAGGATGCAAAGAGAACAATTCTTGATCTGAAGGAACTTGTGGTCAAATTATGGACAAGCAGGAAAAACATACACAGATAAAATTATTCTTTTCTGCTTCTAAGTTTATACAAGACAAAACCCCTATACTAAACTCCTATTGAAGGGACATGTGATTGCACCCAAAACCAACTGTGAGAGGGTTTATATAGAATAATCAGAAGTGGGTGTTTTTGCTGCCACTCTGATTGCCCCATCTGAGAACAGATACTGCCACAGACTGAAATTTTTTATAACTTGCCCCGGAGAAAGTCAACCTCAAACATCTATTTGCTTTAAAAACTAGTACATTCTGGACTAAGAAACTTTCTGGCTAGCTAGGCCACCGAGTTTAGCCAATCCAGATTCTGGAGCAAGAGTGCACAAGTATTAGGTCATTTTGACTTGGGGTTGTCATATAAAGATTCTAGTTGACAGAAAAAATTGCAGTTGCTGCTGTATCAAGGGGACTAAAATTCCAAGCTTGTTATTATTATTATTATTACTATTTTTGGCAATGTTGGAGGAGGTCATTGAGGGGACATGACTGCCGATTGACTCAGGGGCTCCTCCTTTCCCATCCTCATAATGTATATTCCTTCCACCATTCCCACAGTGGAAGCCATTTTCAAGGATGTGGCCTTCAGAGAGTAAGGTGCAGTTGAGACTGAACCCAGGTAAGGCTTCTTTATAAACTTTTAAGACTCTAGTGGCAGGTGTGGAGATCCTTCTGTCTTGTGACCACTCAAGATGAGCCTTAAAAAAAAAGAAAAGATGAGCTTTGTTAAACCTGCCAGCTACCAATCTGGAATGGTCTGCCTCATTTCCCTTCATATACAGAGGCCAGTGTGTGAACCAAAATTGATGAGACTGAAGAAATTGGCCTTGGAAAAGAGGCATCCACAGTGGAAATCCCAAGTTGTGGGGAGGATATCACACAGAGATGTTAGATGATTGTTTCTTCTAGATTCTTGTGGAGCTGTGTGAGTAAAGGGACACCCTCACCCCCAAACACTAATGTGCTTGTTTGTGAAACTGTGCATCGTGCTCTGTGGCAAAGAAGGTAAAAGAATGGCTGCCATATGGGGGGCTGACGTCTACTGTGGGCACTTTGGCTGGTCACTGATGCCAAAGTGGAGTCTAACGTTCCAGTTAGAAAGTTGAAAGAGCTTAGGTTAGAGAAGGACATGCAATTGTCCATCGCTCTGCTAGCTTTGGAGCTAGCAGACAAGGTGGGAGAGCAAGAAGCTGTGAAAACACTCTCTACCTGGAAGGGAACACGTATCGTTTTAAGAAAGGGGAAGGTGGGAGTCCTAGCTTGGCATACCCCATCCTGGTCCATCTCCTCACGCCTGTCAGTGCTGTCTCTCCTAGCCAGGCATGTATGGTATGCACCAGTGGTCGGCAAACTGCGGCTCGCGAGCCACATGTTGCTCGTGAGCCGCAATTTGCCGACCACTGGTATGCAAACAGGTCAAGTTCCTAAAGCTGCCAACATCTCTCTTTTCTTTTTTGTCTCCGTGTTCTCCGTGTATGGGGGGACCAGCAAAATGTACTTTGAATTTTAGCATTTATTTTAGCTTCTTTTTATCTTGTTTTGCTTAAAATCTACCTTTGTTGGAAATAATATGCTACTTTTCAGAACTCAGTACAGTGTGGGTTACAGCTCTGTTGACTTCCAGATAAACTATTTAGGAAACAAAGCAAATAGCAAAAAAGTTATATATCTAAATAGAAATGTATTTCTAAAATTAATCTATATACATGAATTGTATATTCATGCATTCATATTTGATATAAAACTTGTAACAATGGGCATTTTAAACTATAGAGTTGCCCTTTGTATGCAGATTTCCAATGAAGTTCAAAAAGTTTTTGAAAAAAATATTCCCTCTGGATTCTTAATTTTTAACTATAACAATAATACTATGCTCAATATGGAAGAAAGCAAAACTCTTCCATTGACTATTAAAGGTTAGCAATCACACCAAATAATGGTAGTATAGAAGACTGATTTATTGGCATGACCTCATTGTGACCAAGTATAACTCCCCATCCCTGGACTTTTCACTTGATCATGTAAGTGGTTTTAGCCAAAGGGATGTTAGGACACATGATACAAGCAGAGGCATTGCGTGTGCTTGCGTGATTGGGTTTGCCTTTATGCACTTGGATGAGCCTCAGGAAGGACAATATACCTCATGGGCCATTGCCGCTTCAGACTGAGTCCCAGGATGAGAAACGAGGACGTGACCACACATTCCTGGCAACCACTGATCCAAGGAGGATAAGAGACAATGGAGTAGATCTGAGCCTAACCTGCAGCCTGGAGCCTATACTCCAACCTAGCTCAGCCACATAGCAGCCAACCTCGTCAGATAAGTGTGAGAATAAATGTTTGTTGCTTCAAGCTAATAAATCCTAGGGTGGTTTGTTATTCAGCATTATCTATATATATAAAACCCTAATATGCAAATAGACCGAACAGCAGAATAACCGAACAACTGAACAACCCCTTGCTATGATGTGCGCTGACCACCAGGGGGTGTGTGCAGAACATGGTGGGCATAGGCTGCAACAGGATGGTGGAGCAGGTGAGCGGGGGCACCAGACGAAGGCCGGGCGCCGGTCGCTGTCATTGGGGTGAGCCTCTGGTGGTTCTCCACCTCCCCCTGCTCCTGAGGGGGGATCAAGGCCAGTAGCCGCCTCTTGCACCCACTGCCAGTGCTGGCCCCAATTGCCCCATGCTGTCAGCATGTGGGAGCAGCGGTGGCTGGAACAGGGCTGCCGGTAGACAGGAGACTGGGGTGGGGGGCAGGGTCGGGCCGCTGCATGAAGTGCTGGGTAGGGGCACAGAGGATAGGCAGAGACCCGCCCCTGTGCCCACTGCAGCCTGATCGCCCACAGTTCCTTTCAAGGGGCATGAATTTGTGCACTGAGCCCCTAGTTGTGTCAATAACTGACTCATATAGGTAATCTCTAGAGATTTTTTCCTAACTCCATGCAGACATATGTAACTATGAAAATTTCTAAAAATATATATTTCCAACAGTATTTTGCAGTGTTGGATTTAATGGATTTAACTCAGAATGTCTTTTCTGTACATTAGAAGAACTGACTTGGTTTTTCATAAAAAAGGGGTTCTGGGTGACTTCTAGATATATATGTATTACTTTCTGTCTTCAAAAGGTATAAATGTTGACTATAAATCATGCAGTTGGAATTTGGGAATTTGATAGAGGCATTCGGAGATGCAGAAAGTAAATTACGTTTGAAGCTCAAAGTTTTCAAAAACTGCTATGCCGCTTTAAATTTGTTTTTTCCTGTTAAGTTTGAGGAAACTTTTCACTCATAAGCTTTCTAATTTTCCAAGTAGAAAAAAAATTTCCTATCACAAAGAATGCAAGCGCGAGTAGCGGTTAGTTCCAAACTGCCTGCTGCTTTTCAGCTAGGATTGTGTGCAGTTTATGTCAAAACACTTCAGCAAAGAAATACAAATACAGACTAATGTTTGACTTCTTTTGTTGTGTTGAACTGGAGCCAGCGAAAGTATTTATATATAAATCCACTTGTGAAATGCATAACCCTCTCAATGTGACTTATATGTTTGAGGCTTAAAGAGAATTCAGGTTGATTGACAGAAGCTACTGCTCGTACAATGTCAAAATGTATGACTCTGCTTATGTGGAAACTTTAACATTCATTCTCTTCACAGAGGGCTGTTTACTTCTCATTAAGTGCTACTGCATTAGCAATGAACATTTATTTGCCCTACTATGTGTTTTGTGACACATAAGCCTTGAGCACCCCAGTCCTCATTCTTCTCTTTAAAACATTGAGGGAAACAAATACCCGCCCTCCCCCCCAACCCCAAGAGTATGCCTAAAATATCTACTTAGACATGCCTGAGGGCAAAATTGATGGCTTTATGTTTTAAACACTTGAACATAATGTAGGTATGAGAGAGAGAGCGAGAGAGAGCTCTATCATATGGAGTCAGGATATTTTCCCTTCTTTCCAACAGTAATACTCTACAAAACCCTGTTTTCTTCTCCTTAATTCTACAAGGAGCTCAAACATGCTTTTTGAATCTATGGTTTGGAGCTCCTGTGAATGCTACTAATATAAAAGAGCCCTGGTACATCAGATGTCGTAGAGACCGTGTAGGAATGCCATGTCTCCATTTTTCAAAAGCTGCATCCTCCTATTTGGTTGAACTCTAGTACCTTGTTTAAATTTTTATTGCATTCCCACATAGTGTTATGCATAAGTATATAAGATGCCACAACGGATTAGGCTAGTGGTCCATCTTGCCTCCCTCGGAGGGATGTGTTGTAGGGAGCTAAGGTTGTCTTTCTTGATGGAACTCTGAAAACA